CACTGACCAACCTTTTTCAAGTCAGCCACCGAGTCGCTCTCGTCCACTCGCACCGACAACACGCTTTCCGCCACACCCACCACAGCACACAAGAGTTTCACCATCTTTCCTTGAGGCGGCAGATTCGAGTCTGGTGCGAGAGCTCTCGCACTATTTTTCCAACCCGCACTAGACATTTTTCGGAGAACGGTAGACATAATTTGACACGACCGAACACTTATGCCTCGAAGCATACACTTTTCTGATGAATAGCAGAGAAAGGACGTGGGATGTGGTCCACATTATAACCATCTTTCCAGATTCTCGAATGAGAGAAAAGGCCTAAGCGGGAAACGAAGGCGGTGCCACAAAAAAGACCTATCCCATGCGATTCGAATAGCGAGAACTTGAAATCTGCATCGGATGCGTCCTCTCGCTCAGCGGGTCGAGAGGTTGCCATCCGTTTAGAGGACTTGAAACCTACTTGAGACGCATTGACTCAATAACCAGTCGAGAGCGTGAGGACACACTCAATGGCATTGAGCGCGTCCCCACGCTCTCGATTGGCCAAGCGGTCGGCTCGTTGACCTGGCGCGGTTAAACCTACTCTCCTTGTGAAAAAAGGCTTTGAAAAAAAACTGCCGGTGTAATGTGCCGGCTCTCTCTACTCGCAGCTACTACATGTACAGTAATACGCGAGCTCTAATGGGCATCAGAGATGTGTCTCGCAGACTATATACGTAGACCTCTTGTTATTACACTACTCGTCATAACGATCTGCGATACAACCTCGGCCATTGCGGATACCGCTACAGAGCAGACGAGCTTTGCCGACGATGCCTCGATCGACGCTGTACCTTTATTCCCAGCCGGCCACCATGACAGTGCCATCATGGCAGCCATGGTCATTGACATGACACGTCAGAATCGCTTCGTAGAAGTCTATACATTGTATAGACTTCTACGAAGCGATTCTACCACTGCTGAAGCGCACAAGACCTCGGCCACTGACGAAGAGAGGGAAATTATACTCGCGACCGTGGATAGCGATCAAAAGACTGGTGACAAAAGATGACACGATCTATACGCATGAAAGAGATAATGGACTCGAGAAGGAATGGTGGGTTACATTACTAAAAAATCAACCGAAAAATCGAAGGCCAAACAACAACTACGTCCGACCTCTGTACTGGACAGTCCGAATAAGCGAACCCCAGCGATGATGTACAACAAGCTCAACGTTATCTCGTCAACATGCATTGGCGATATGAATATCGCATCTACATCAACTACTTGCGGTTCTATGAGTACTTTAACGTACATCCCCCTTTTCGTGCATGGACCAAAGTTCAACACTTAAAAAACAATGAATTAAACGGACGATAAATTTGATGTATAACATGTATGGACACTAGAAGGACCACAGAGAGGTACTGAAGTAGTAGCTGCCAGCTCATGAAAGCCAAAGCTGTGTCGCATGAAGCCTTCTGCTGAAGATAGTTGGTGATCTCAGCACTAAATACGCGTGTTAGGATCCAGATCAATGCCGCTAGCATAGGTATCAGTATCGTTGATTCTTCACCAGGTCGATATGAAATTAAAGTGCTCCTGTATTTCACACTTAACTAATGAATTCTTCAGTGCAAATTAAAATGCTAGTGTTCGAACTGGAGAGGCAAGACTTGAACTGCAAGTTGCTTCATTAAATGAACAAACACAAAAAATGGACCAAAACGTTTGTATTATTAATACTTAGTATTCCGATAGGGAATATTGGTTTCAGTCCTGATGCTGCGTAACATGTAAATACACCAGTATGCGAAAAAGTTCTGGTTCAACGAAGGATATATTAGAGAACTTATTAATGGTTTCTCGACTACCGGTAGCTCAAGATTTTGGGGCAACAATTGTCTGAAAAAGGGTCAAGGCCGATGGTTCATTAATAAATTCCAGTGGAACATCGAGAACCTTCGTTACACGTATTCCACTGAAGGGGCATCCATTGATTTTCTTTTTCGCGCTATTCCAACAACTAAAGCTCTCCATTTCTTTTTCATTGGCAATGTGCCACACGAGCTCGGATAAACGTGTACAGTAGACGACAATTGGTGTCTGACAGGCTAATTGAAAAGAGATATCTGCTTAACTATAATGGCGATAATAACTATCCCCCAGAAATTAGAATTTCGAGAGCTAAAGAGACTAAGAGGGAATACCAGGATAATTTTTCTCTGAAATTTATACCAGATCTGACAGAAGATCCAAGAACAGCTGGTACATGTATTGTAATTTATCGACCTTAAATATCAAATAACAAATATGGTTTACAAATTCTAAGAAACTTAGAAACAGATACAAGAAAAACTTCGAAAAACAAAAAAAATGACTGGAGTAGCTAAAAAGGCTGGGACAAGCTAATTTGTTGTTGAAGCCGGTAGAAATTGGTAATGGAGTCGGGTTTAGCAAATCCACAGTCAAACAAAAAAATGTTTGTTGTTAACGGTAAATGCTGAAGTGAGTAGATTAAAGTCAATTAAATCTGTCCTCTAAACTGCTACTCTAGCGTTGTCCTCCTTGTTGTCCTCTTGTCAAGCGCCCCTGGCCTCCCACCAGATTAACCGGTTTGAAACGGTCCATCCTGGAACGTTCAGCCGGTTAACTGAACCGTGCAGGGTCAGTGTGAATTAACACTCCCACTCACCGCTATTGCACGGCGTTCGTCTTCGTTAAGGATCGCGGCGTTCCTCTTCTTGATCCCGCTTGCCTCGCGAAGGACGCTAGCGACTTCGTTCCAAGCGCCTTCGTCATCATGTCCGCAAGCTGGCGCTTCGTGTCGACGTAGTCCACCTTGATCGTAGAGCGTTCCACATTCTCCCGAATGAAGTGATGTCGGATATCCACGTGCTTGGTCCTAACGTGATACCCAGCGTTACTTGCAAGTGCGATAGCACCTTGATTGTCCTCCCAGACCTGCGTCGCTCCCACTTGCTGGTGACCCATGTCCTTGAGAATAGCACGTGTCCACAGTACCTCTTGCGTACACAGACTCAGAGCCATGTACTCTGCTTCCGCTGAGCTGAGTGCAGCCGTTCGCTGGTACTTGGACTTGAACACAGCCGGAGCGTTCCCAATCATGACCATGACACCTGATACGGAATGCCTGTCGTCAATGCTGCTTCCCCAGTCTGCGTCCGCGGACGCCTCTGCCTTGACACCTTGCGGTACACTTTGGTAGACGATACCGTGCTGCCGAGCTGTCTTCCAGTACTGCAGGACCCGTATCGCTGCCTTCCAGTGTTGCGTTCCAGGATTCTCCAGGAAGCGTGACAACTGCGTTACAACGAACGCAATGTCCGGTCGAGTGCATGTTGTGATGTACATCCGGCATCCGATGAAGGACCGGTACGGTCTTGACTGCATTTCACGTCGCTCCTTCTCCGTGGCTGGCGACATCATCTTTGACAGCTTCATGTTTGACGCGCATGGGTTATCCAACATCTTGGCGTTCCGTTGGTTGAAGCGCGCTACAATATCGTCAATAGACCGAGTTTGCTTGATCATCAGCGTTCCAGCTGCCTTATCATGATCAATCGCCATCCCCAGGATGAACTTTGCCTCGCCAAACTCTTTATTTTGAAGGCACTCTTCAGAGCGTCCTTTACTTCGCGAATCACTTCGCGTGTCTTCGCCGCAATGATCATGTCGTCCACATACAGGCATACGTACACGAATGCGTCCCTGGAACGCTTGACGTAGACACACTGGTTGGCTCCATAACTCCTGAAACCGTTCCGCAGGAACACACGATGGATGGTCTTGTTCCATGCACTTGCAGCTTGTTTCAAACCATATTTGGCCTTTAGAAGCTTGAGCTTCTTGCCTTCAGGGTTCTCGAGACCAAGTGGGACGTCCCATGTAGACCAAATCCACCAATTTACTGTTTAGGAACGCTGTGTCGACATCCAGTTTCTCCATAACGTAGTCACATGCCACACACACACAGCGAGTACAACTCGAATCGAGTTCATGTTTGCAACAGGAGAGTACGTCTAAAAAAATAAACGATTCCAAACTTCTGCTTGAACCCTTGAGCTACTAGGCGTGCCTTGTAACGGATAACACGACCGTTCTCGTCACGCTTCTTGGTGAACACCCAGCGACATCCAATAAAACGCGTAGGCATTCCACATGGAACCGACGTCTACGTTCCGTTCTGGGAATGAGAGTGTAACGCAGCCTTCATCGCCCGACGCCTTTCAGCTGCTTTATCATGACGATAACTTCTGCGTACGTGTTCGGCGTATCCGGGACACCTCCGATGCTGGCCGCATATGCCAACACTGCCTCTGCGAGTTAACAGTTTTCATCGATCCTAGGACGCTTAGGAGACGGCGGTCCATCACTACCTCGTTCAGACTGACGTTCCATATCGTCATCGTAGCCGTTCCCAAGCAGAAACACCGGTTCCCGAGGTCGGGTTGAGCGTTCTGTTGCAGTATGGAAGATTATTCGGTCCTCTTGGAACGCAGGAGGTTGTCAGCGGTACGTTGCCAGTTCCAGTCCACTCGACCGGCGCTCCTCCGGTGCGGGTAGCTGTGGTAGCTCTGCGTTCCGTTCCGGCTCAACATCGTCCATCTCAATGTCTTGAGCAGGTTCTTCCGCTTCTTCCATCGGTTCATCTTGAACAGACTGTCATTCCACTTCTGGAGCTGGAACCACGGTATCGTCATCGCTCCTTGTCACATGGATGATTGCTCCAGAAGCTGGGCGACGGCGTGTCATAAATACCGCCCACCTCACGCTCGTCCAGCTTTACCGATCGTGACAGCTTGACCTTGGATGCATCCAAGTCGTAGACACGATACTCTTTTAAGTTCTCTGCGTATCCGAGGAACGCGCACCTGAAGCTCTGGGTTTCAACTTCGTTCTCTTCACGGCATCCACGTGAGCGTACCCTTGTGATCGAAACACGCGTAGGTGTTCCATCCGTGGCTTCACTAGGAGCATCAACTCATATGGCGTGACATCCGAGTTGGATGTGTTCGTGGAACGGTTGATAAGGTACACTGCAGTACTCACCGCTTCAGCTCACCACTCCGTCGACATAGACTTGTAGTGTAGCATGCTTCGTGCCTTCTCCATGATGGGACGGTTCATGCGTTCTGCTGAGGGCTGTATGGAATGGTGCGTTGATGAACGATGCCATTCCGCTGACAGAGTTCCAATACCGTCTTGTTTACAAACTCCGTACCATTATCGGAACGCAGGCACTTCAATCGTTCCCCCCACTGATTTTCATACAGCGCCTTGAACTCCTTCAGCTTGCTGCCCACCTCACGCTTGTGCTTCATGAAGAATGTCACGACATATCTTGAGTAGACGTCTACAAAGGTCAGCACGTACTTGGCTCCCCCCTTTGAGAGCGTTCTCGTTGGTCCCATAACGTCCGTGTATACTATTTCCAACACACTCGCTGTCTTCGTCAGTGATCGTGACGGGATCGCCGTCACGGTCTGCTTTCTCTTCATGCATCCACCGCACAGAGTCTTGCACCCCCTTTTTACTGGCGGGATACCGGTCGTGGAACGCTGGGTCTTTGGCGGTGCGTCCTTGTTGGGGTGACCCATGTAAGCGTGCCAAAGCTCCCACTATTCCACGAAACGGGCATCCTCCTGCTGACAGTCCAACAGGAATGCCTTACCGATTTTCTTCCCGGACGCTATTGCAGCGTTCCGTCCCCAAATTACACAACTGGAACGCTGGAACTCCACACTCTTACCGCGTTCCGCGAGCTTCCCGACTGACAATAGGCGTCTATCGAGCTCGGGGATGTGGAGCACGTCCACCATACGGATGCGTCTACCGTTCAAACCAGTCAACTAGACCGTTCCAGTTCCTGCGACGTGCAGCTTCTTGCCGTCCGCAATCGTCACCTCCATGTTAGTGTCCAGCGACTTGTACTCAAACAGGTCGTTCCGGTGAGGGGTCATGTGCGACGTCGCACCGCTATCAATCAGCCACCCGGCCGAGCGTTCCCCACCAACTGCAAACACTGCATCGTCTTGGCTACCCTTC